ATAGAATTCAAGTTGTTTTCGGCTAAACATAATAAAATTTTGACAAAAATAATTATTGTTTTTCTATAGGAAAATATGGGGTATTTTTATTAAAGCGTAAATTATTCAATATGCTTATGGTTATAGTTGACTAAACTTTGATCAATTTTTAATCTGCCTGGCCTCGATTGGGCATTTTGTAAAATGACTGAAAACAGGCAATTTTTTGCAGAAATAGTTTTATTCTTTCAAGTCACCACCCTTTACTTTCAATAATTATATACAGTGGTGGCCAAAAGTATGGAAACTTTTTACTTTTTAAAATATCACAGAACTTTAACGTCAACTTGACAATCCTGAAAAATATTATTGTTAACCAAAGAGTAAATCAATTTCTAAATTCGCTAACGCCAACTTATTTTTCATTAAAAAAAAATTACCAATTTTCGTAACTAGGTCGGCCATATTGAGGAACTTTTAAAAGAATAGTACTATACACGCGGCAGAGTGTACCACAGTCACCGCGATACTCCGCCCACTCATCACATTGGCTACTTGCAAATTTGTCGAATTTTTATTGACGGGACGCATCGTTATTTTTTTGAGAAAGATCGATTAAAACGGTAGTAGGCCGAGCTTGGAGAACAGTGCAGTCGTTATCGGTAAAATGGTAGCGTAATACAGGGTTTGCAAGTTAAACAAAAGACCAAAAATGTTATCACCAACTTACTGCAAAATAAAACACTAAATCACCACAATACACTAAAACACTTTTACTTTTACACTGGCATGATTAAAACTAAACTAATATCTACAAATTGAGCGTTTATATACTCGCTGATTGGTGGGCCATTGTCTCATACTATCTTTGCATTTAATAATTTTGATGCTCTCATATGCATCTTATTGCCTTTAATTTGAGACTTGTTTAATTCATTTTCGATCATTTATATCCATACAACGTTCTTTATCAACAATATGTTCGGCAACGTAAGATTTATCCGGTCTACCATATCTTATCTGAGCCATATGTTCTTTAAATCTAGATAATATTGATATTCAAGTTTACCCAACATATTTCTGATTACAATTTTTATACAAAATTTCATAAATACCCGACCTTTCCAGTGGAGGTGTTTTATCTTAGGATTACCTTAATAATTGTAGTAATTTATTATTAGCACTTTACACAAGTTTATAATTGACATTCTAAAAAATTCAATTCTATCAAACGGTATTGAAAAATATTTTGACGTATCTTTCTCCACTTGAAAAGTCGAATTTTCAGAAATCTCAAACTTATACCTACGTTTTCTCATTATTTTATCAACTAATGAAGACGCATATCCATTACACTCAGCTACATTCCTAATGTAAGTTCTTTTTATTTTATATCTTTCGTTTTTGAAACTATAGCGCAATCATCAGCATATTGAAGTTCTGTGATAAACTTTATACGTGTTTTTGCCGTGAGTCTTTTTTATGTTGAACAGACCTCCGTCATATCTGTATCTAATGTCCAATCCTCTATCCTGCAGTTTGCTGTCTACTATAAAGGAGAGTGCTGCCATAAATATGTTGAATAGGAGAGGCGCTAAGACACATCTCTGCCTAACTCCTGTGTTTGTTAGAAAGGTATCGCTCTGTGATCCATGATGGTGATAGAGAAATCACTCTCGACTTGTTGTTGTTATGGAGGCTTTTACACACTGTAAGAAATTTGTTGGGTACTCCGAACTTTTTCATAATTGCCCAAAGTGCATCTCTGTTCACAGAGTCGAAGGCTTTTGTTAGGTCGATTAAAAACTAAAAACAACTATTCAAAAACTGACATTTTTTAAGAGCCACTACCAGGTTTTTATTTTAAATTTAAAAAATCTTATACGAATTAATCGATTGTCAAGCAAGAATACATTAAAGTTAGTTAAACTCGGCTAAACGAAAGAACAGTTACCTTAAAACAACAAAGGATATAATAGGAACAGCATTCCTTCAATTAAAAATGCTACACTTATATTCTTACATGTTTTTTTTTCGACTGCACTTTAATCAGTGCCACTATCATCTTGAGTGAAACCCGAAAGTTTATGCATAAAATTCTCAGATCACGACGACAATCAGCAAAATTTAAAAAGGCGTCCGACCTGGCAGAGCTGACAAATTTCGTGCACTTTCTTTTTAATGAAAACGCGATCCGCGAATAGATTCATTTTTCATTTTCTTTTCGCGAGATCTCTCGACGGTGTGAACGTCTGAAGGAGTTGCATTTATCACTATAACAAAGTTTGGGATAAAGAACGACACTAATACCGGATCCTATTTTACCCTTTTTCCTCTTCGTATTACAGTCGTTTATCTTACTTAAGACCCTTGAAGAATTACAAAATATTTACTTGGTTTAATGTTAAAGTATGAAGAAAAACAGCGTGATTAATAAAAATACTTTCTCAGAAAAATCCTTTCATTAAATTTATGTTTTAGGTTTGGTACATTTCGAGGTGTATTTTCTTCAGTGTTTTCAGTTTAACCGGTCACTTTCCTCTATAGGGATGCGTTCGTTTGCGTGACTTAGGCCAGTTTTCGCTCAAAGCATGCAACAAATATTTGCAGGCAGTTATATTGTCATAATTCAGTTAATACAGTTAACGTAATCAGAAAACATCGATAACAAGAAGAACAAGATGGATTCCTTCACGCGGAACCCGTATACGGAAGAAATCAAGCATCGATTAAGAAGTGGGAGAAATTGTTTACCGCTATTATTATGGTTGGTATTAGGTGTAGTTGTTTATGTGTTTGTTCCAACCGGACGAGAGAACCGTTCTAGAACGGTAATTTCCTATCAGTCAATTCATTCGTAAATCTTGGCAAATGATCAAACTTTTCAAACAATAAGTGAGCGACTAGAAATTACTGTCCCAGGATCGGTTCTAGGTCCGGTTGGAACGAACCTAATAGTTCGCAATAGATTAGTTTGTGTAAGCAGTAATCATATCGTGAACTTATTGTTTCATTTGTTTTGACATTCTTGTCTTATACGATTTGTATTTTAGTAATACCTCTTATATTGTTTTTTTTTTCAGATCTAGTTTTTTCTCTTTATTTTTTTTGGAAACAATAGCTTCCTCCTTAAGGAGACGGCAAATTGTAACAGATTATTTTTTATTACGTGAAAGCGATCTTTTCGATTTTTTTTTGTTATAGATAGGACCCTTTTAACAAAGAAGTTGTAAAGCAAACATCTACAAACTATTTTTCACAGGTCTATACTAAAGCGATTTAAAAAGAAAAAAGAAATAAACTATAGAACTCTAAACACACATAAATTGTAAAGATGGACTTTTTCTAAAGATAAAAACGTCAAACCGTCATCTAATGGTAATAAAACAATTGGTAACCAGAAAATCACGTACTTGAAAGCGCTTAAAATAGTTGAGCTTAAGTTAAATATATTAAACGAGCAAACAGGTGTCATTTAGCAACAGGCGGTTCAAGCAAGTTGGATTGAAGGAAGGTGGCAAGTTGACCAATCCAAAAGGGATTGGGAACCTTCAGGGTTAATGTTATTGGCTAAGCAGTACTTAGAACTGCCTACCAACCCTTAGGTCGTACTGAAAAATTGACCATAAAGTTAATGGCTTACTAGATATTTCGAAAAAAAACAAATTTCGGCTATTTTAAAAATTGTCCCTAATTCCATTATAAGCTATTTTAGACAAAAAGTTTTCAGATAAAAGTTGTAGATAATCACATTCTTTATGAGACTGTGTCCTCCGTTTTCTTCTATAGCCTGTCATTTTTGACATATGACACAAACATATGTTTTTTTAAATGGAAACTATAGTTGGCCATGACTTCATAATAAGCGCCATTTTTTAAGCTTTTCGGCGATATAAGCTATAATATGTTTTCTTCGAAAAATTACTGAGTTATAGCCAATTCTTATAATTTTTAAACAATTTCACTTAGTTAGCCATGGAAACAAGTTCAATCGTCGTTGCTCTCGAGTGGCGGTACTAGAGAAGTTTAATTAAGTTAACCGGTCCTTTTACGAGAATAGGTAGTAATTCAGTTTTAAAAAGATACAATTCAAAACAATGGCGGAACATTTTCTAAAATAACTTAAAGTGAGCAGTAATTTTATTTTTTAAGTTTTAGTTTGTTCAATGTTTAGTAATATATTGTGACTTTTTATAAGTTATAAATCATAACAGAATAAGAACACCATGCAATCTAATTGAAATTAGTCAAAAAAGATAAGAATTGGCTATAACTAAAAACTTTCCTACATGTCTTGAAAACCGTTCTGTAAAAAACGTAACATTCACCGGTCAACGTATCCTCAAAAATGTATGTATTAATAAAAAAAAAGAAAAGTTGAACCAATAATCCTACACGCTTTTCTTCATTTGAAAAATTCATATTTACAATTTTTGGTAATTTTAATTTACGAAGTTTGGATGTGACAGCTTCACATTTCTGAGAGCAAAGGCGATTAAACTTGTTTCGATGGCTAACTAAGTTAAATTGTTTAAAAATGATAAGAAGTGTCTATAACTCAGTAATTTTTCGAAGAAAACATATTATAACTTATATCGCTGAAAAGCTTAAAAATGGCGCTTTTTATGAAGTCATGGCCAACTATGGTTTCCATTTAAAAAAACATATGTTTGTGTCATATGTCAAAAATGACAGGCTTCAGAAGAAAACGGAGGGCACATTCTCATAAAGGATATGATTATCTACAACTTTTATCTGAAAACTTTTTGTCTAAAATAGCTTATAATGGAATTAGGAACAACTTTTAAAATAGCCGAAATTTGTTTTTTCGAAATATCTAGTAAGCTATGAACTTTTTCAAAAATCTGAAAGGCGCATATTTATGACTCCACAAACTGCAATTCTTTTCCCATTTAACCGACTCTCTATCTCCAGTAGTTCCGAGATACCCATAGAGAACATCGTAGGAAACTCACCCTGTATATAAAAATGAACTTAATATACTGTATATACATATACGCTTACCGTTTCACTGAATCCACAAAGAAAGCAACTGTTAGACTGGCCACGATCATGCAAGCTAAATAAATTCCAGCAATAGTTTGAATTTTCGACGGAGAAGGCGGTGTGAGATTAGGGACGGCTTCCAGGGACGTTCCAGGGCAGAAGTTTGCTCCACATATATCGCCGCTATCTCTTTGAGGCGTGGAAATGTTAACAATTTCTTTAAATACCTCGGTAATATTGCTGAAACTAACGTTTGATTGGATTTCGGCAAGAGGGCTTTCTCCTGATGACAAAACTGAAAGAAAAATCTCAATTTAATACCTCTATTAGGATTAAAATATATGCTACAATAAAAACAGTTATAATTTTCTAAAATGCTACAGTTATAATTTTCATAAAGTGTATTACTAATGTAGTGTTCAATGAAAGGTGCGTTTAACTTAAGAATTTACAAATTAGAATTTTACAAAGAACATGACAGTGATCTTTCTTTCAAAGTATAGTGTATATTTAGTCTGTACTTATGATACATGAAAAAAAAAGGTTCAATTATTTTGCCTTAAAGCTTTAGACACAAATTACCTATAACAGATGCGAAAGAACACCGAATTACGCGTTCAGGTTTCTGTGACCTTCAGAAAGAGTTCATAGACAATCCGCATCAATGTATAGTTTGGGTTATTATTTGTTTGGGTGAAAATAATCTGCACCAATATGTTATCGAGGCATACAAAAGGTCCACAGACTTCGAGACATACGAAAAATCAAGTCCATTTAGCGTGTGTCGCAATTTTCTACACTTAAAAAATTATTTTTATAGCTATAGCTATAGCAAAAAAAAAGCTGTGTGATTTTCATAGAAAATAAGGGCACCTGTAATTCATTTGAGAATGTTATAAATCGCTAAAAGGGTTTCAAATCTCTTGGATTTCTATTAATATGTAATAAATTTCATAAATTTTTATTAAAAAATTGAACCTAAAATTGTTAGAATCAGTAAAATCAATTCAAATTCAAAAATTCATTTCTGTCAAATTCCCTCATTTGTAGGTAAATATTAAAGTAAATATAAATACAAGGTTATTCTATGTATCTTATTTTTAACTCAAAATTTAAATGATTGTTGCATTAATGCCTTAATGTTGAATCGAATGAACAATAGTATTAATAATGACCATATAATAATAATAAAGTTTTATATCATAGTTACTCGTTATTAAAACTACTAAAACACTTTTTAAATTGGTATTATATTAACAACTTTTGTTTTTAATCCAAAAAAGTTACCAATTTTCTCAATCAAAATATTTGTGGTCCTGAAAAGGACCTTGTTTTCCATGTTCGTCAAGGTAGGTAATGGGTAAAAGGTAAAAAAACAGGATAATGAAATTTAAAAATTACAAGAATTGTTCAAGAAGTGCCTCCCTCTTGCATTAAACAATAACCCAAACGATCATAAAATCTCGCCGACATCCCGAGGTGGTCCTGGACCGGGCGGTGTGGACTGTGCTTATCCAGGCGACTAACCGAGACGCCGTTTCGTTCTACTGCGAACGATCCAGGGCTCGCGTGCGTACCTATCCCACAGGACTCCGTTTCGTCCTTACTGCGAACGATCCACGGCTCGCGTGCGTACCTATCCCACAGCGACTCTTGTTTCGATCCTACTGCGAACGATCCAGGACTCGCGTGCGTATCTATCCCACAGGACGCCGTTTCGTCTCTACTGAGAACGATCCAGGCTCGCGTGCTATCTATCCCACAGGACGCCGTCTCGTTCTACTGCGCACGATTCCGGGCTCGGGTGCGTAATTATCCCACAGGACGCCGTTTCGTTCTACGACGAACGATCCAGGGCTCGCGTTTCTGCCTTAACTGCTCCAAGTTTTGAATTTCTTCGTCGCCGTACATTTTAGATTTTATGTACTCCCATATAAAGAAATCACTCACCGAGAAGTCAGGTGAAATTTAAACGTCGCCGTCTAAATAAAACTGTCATTTTAGAAAACTTGTCAAAATTTGGATACACGCTAAATGGACTTGATTTTCCTATGCCTCGAAGTCTGTGGACTTTTCTGTATAATGTCACAGTAATTTAATAGATTGCTCGTCATATTACAGAGTATATCAGCTCGTAGGAGATTAGGAAAAAAAAGATATTTATAGTATAAAAAATTAATTTATTTAACAAAATTTAATTAAAGATGTGACAAAATAGTTACATTTCTATAGGTTCTATCGGACTTTTTTCGACTATATAAATCTTTATTTTTGTAAACTTTAATGCATAAAATATTTTCAATCTAATAAATAATTTAATGATGTAAATAAGAGGAAATTTCTCACATGGGGTGGTCAAATTCTATAGTTTTTCATTATATCAAACAGCCTCTGAATGTTTTCTTCAATGCAAAACTCATCAAAATTTAATATATTATATTTTCCAGCCTGTAAATAAAATGAACAAATTTTTGTACTTTCATGATCAAAGGCTTTTAAATGGATAAATAATTTCGAGTTATCAAGAGATTCGGATTCTTTTGCAAATTTAGACAAATATCACATTGAAGTATTTGAAGACCCTTTTAATGATGTAGTTAAACATAATTAAAGGCATTTTGAGTTGAAAACACTCAGAGGCTGTTTGATGTATAAAAACTACCCGTATTGGCCAAACGTGAAATTTCCTCTTATTTACATCATTAAATGATTTATTAGGTGGAAAATATTTGATGTATTAAAGTTTACAACTGTAAGATTTATATAGTCGAAAAAAGTCCGATAGAACCAATAGAAAGGTAACTATTTTGTCACATTTTTAATAAATTTTATTAAAAATTGAACTAAAATTGTTAGTATCATTAAAATCAATTCAAATTCAAAAATTGTATCAGTCAAATTCCCTCATTTAAGGTGAATATTAAAGTAAATATAAATACAGCTCATTCTAAGCTCCACTTATTTTTAAGAAAAATTTAAATTATTGTTGCAATTGGGCCTTTTTTGTTAAATAAATTAATTTTTTCTCAATAAATATATTTTTGGTCCTAAAAATGAAACACATTTGCATCACATTTTAAATAAGATATGGGTAAATTACCAAAACTTAGATAATGACAGTTCAAAAAGTTCAACTAAAATCCAACACGCGTTTTGCATTAAAAGAAACATATAACCACGCACTATGTCATTCCAGCAAGCGAATACGTCTCAGCATAGGTTTCAGTGTCTAAACGACTGGTGTATTTACACCACTCAATAGGCGTGTCGGGTTTGAAGCGGTCTTCCGATGCAGTACGCTTTCTTTCGCATCTGTTATAGGTATCATTTGTGCGAGAAGTCAGGTAAAATTACATGTACTAGTGAATACTAACTGTCACTAGTAAAACTTCTACCAAAATTAGTTGATAAACTCATAATGGCTTGATTCGCCTATGTCAGGTAATGTGATCTTTTACTAATAATTCACAGTTAATATTTATTGATTTCTCGCTTTTACTATAACATATATAAGAGATTTATAAAATTAATTTATTTAACAAAATTTAATTAAAGATGTGACAAAAATAGTTACATTTTTATTGGTTCTATCGGACTTTTTCGACTATATAAATCTTTATTTTTGTAAACTTTAATGCATAAAATGTTTTCACTACTCATAAACATTCTTAAGGATCTGAATATCATTTCTAGACATTTGCTAACGTATTATTAAAAATTATTAAGATTAATTTTATTAAACCGTTCTGAATCCTAACTAGGAAACTCTTAGCAGCAAGTTTCAGACAAAACCACTTTGTTAAAGCTATTTCGGATACCTAAACAAATAGTCCTAAGGGTTCAAAAGACGATGGGCAAGATGGAATTCGGTCCTTAGCTTTAGATAATCCCATCGAATTAATGAGATTATACTTTTTGGCGTGTCGAACAGACATTTGAGGATGTTCACTTATTAAGACCTTTAGTTTTTTTCATATCTCAGCCTCGATCTCAGCACTCAAAGGCATTATGAGTTAGTAAAATGTCTCAAAATACTTTGTTTTAAGTAATTAATAACACTAGTTATTAAGTAATTAATAATAAATTAAAAACTACTTTTTAAATTTTTAAAAGATGCTTTTTGAATTTTTGGTTAAAATTATTTCCGATAGAACCAATAGAAAGGTAACTATTTTGTCAAATTTTTAATAAAATTTTGTTAAATAAATTAATTTTTTTTATACTAGAAACAACATATTTTATGAGTATATCTGGGACGGCAATGTGCATAATTTAAAATTATTTTGAAATGTACAGGTTACGTCAGAACTAAGATCCACTTTTCACACCAATTTTTAATTAAAATGGCAACCAAGAGGGCTAGTGTCGTCATGGCAAGTTTTTAGTGACAGTTAGTAGCTATTTTATTATTCCAATCTTCCTTCTTTATTATTCCAAATTGTTGTCAGAGAACAGACCTGAGTATCAAGAACCGCCACAGCCAGAAATAAACATTGCAGGAGAGGAAATCTACGTGGATACCAACAAAATAAAGACCGCTATAATGTCTTTAAAGAATGGAAGAGCATGTGGCCCAGAGGGAGTATATGCGGAACTCATAAAATCTGGAAAAGCAAAAAACTGTTTAGAATGTTAATAAACATAGTTAACCAGTGCTTAAATGGTCATACAGTACCTGAACAGTGGAAAAAAGCATATATCTCCTCTATATATAAAAGGGCTCAAGGAAGGATCCCAATAACTACAGGGGAATTTCGGTCACCAGCACTATGAGTCGCCTCTATGGAAGGATACTGAGGAACTTAATTGAAGAGGAATACTCCAGCTACGAAGAAGAAGAGCAGAATGGTTTCAGAAGCGAAAGATCATGTACAGATAATATATTTGCATTGAAACAGATCATCGAGAAGAAATCTGCAATGAACCAGGAAGTTCATATAACATTCATCGATCTACAAAAGCATATGATACAGTGCCAATAATAAAATTATGGGAATTATTGCACGAATCAAGAATTAACGCAGCTCTGATAAAAGCTGTACAACGGAGGAAAATCTCTCAACGGTTTCTCAGAGGAAATTTCTATCACTAAAGGGATCCGTCAGGGTTGCTGTATATCCCCAACACTATTTAAAATTTATATTGCCAAGGCCTTACATCTATGGAAAAGAAAATGTAACGGAATGGGTATAGAACTAAATGACATATGCCTATACACCTTGCAATTTGCAGACCGACCAGGCCATAATTGCAAACGACAAAGATGACATGGAATATATGGTGCGGAAAATAATTGAAGAATATGCTAAATGGGGTCTCACAGTAAATACAGAAAAAACAAAATACTAATATTCAATTGGAGCTAATACAGAAAATCTTATTTTAGACAATAATATGGAAATTAGGGCATGTGAAGATTACAGGTACCTAGGATCGATATTTACAGGAGATGGAACGGACGATAGAGAAATAAACAACAGAGTAATACAGGCACGAAGAGTTATCAGATGCATAAATGGCATTCTATGGAGCACTGAAATTACAAAAAAACAGGAAATAATATATACGGGACACTAGTTAAAAGCATATTACTCTATGGATGTGAAACATGGCGACTCACTGAAAGGAATAAAAGGAAATTAGAGACAACAGAAATGGACGCGATTAGAAGAGCAATGAGAATTTCAAGGAGGGATAAGATCAGAAATGAAGACATTAGACAACAGATGGGAATAGAGAGAGCAATAGTAAATGATATAGAACAAAAATAATTAATATGGTACGGCCACGTTCAGAGAATGCACAATGAAAGAATTCCAAAACAAGTCATTCATTAGATACCACCTGGTAAACGAAAGAGAGGACGTCCCAAGAAAACATGGATGGAAGGAATAAGCAGGTCGATGAGCGAGAAAAATCTGACCGAAGATCAATGGAAAAATCGCACAGGGTGGAAGTTAGGCATCGGACAACGTCGTAGGACGTTCTGACCCAGATTTATATATATATATATATATATATATATATATATATATATATATATATATATATATATATATATATATATATATATATATATATATATATATAGTAGCTATTTTCAAAACTAAAATTAGTTTATGTTGTTTTTATTTATTTTATGGATTTTCTATAAAAGAGTCAATTACGGCAAATTCATTTTCTTCACTTCCAACGACAGGTTTCTGCCGAATAGTTTTTTTATAAACCACACTACCAGCTCTGTGAAATAGGAAAAGCAGTTTTTCAAAGAAACGCTTATCAGGAAGATTCCTATTTGGATATCTTTGAGCATAAGCCCTTGAGGCCAAGAAGCAATTTTCCTCGCAAAATAAAATCACTAGTAAAATATCCATTCTTCCCGCTAGCAGATACTGCTTTATTTTTCTTGATAAAATAATGAATACTTACTTATTAATCTACTGTAGGTAAATTTAAGTAAACTGTTATAAATCTAAATGATAATGTCTATAAACAAATGTCGATTTTGAAAATCGTTACTAAATGTCACTGGATAATTGCCATGGCGACATCAGACATCTTGATTGGAATTTTATTGAAAAATCGCTTTTTATTCAAAATCTGGGATAGATAGGTATAGGAAAACCAATATAGTTTGAAAGAGCATTTGAATCTCCTTCGATTTATTTCAAAACAATCAAACAACAAAAAACAATTTGACAAAAAGCCAAATAATTGGTATAGAAAAATAGAAATAATATATTGTTTTATTAGGAGTAAAAATTATAACTTTTGTGCCGAGACTTTATGTTTGCAGGCGAGGTACAAAAGTCATTTTTACTCCGAATAGAACTAGAAGAAATGCTTTTGAGAAGAAATGAAAAGAATACCACAAATAATTTTTTAAACAATTTCATAAGTATTGCCAAATAACGAGCGTTTTGCTAGCCATGTTAGCATCATCAGCAGATGATTAAAACTGAACTAATATCTACAAATTGAGGGTGTATATAGGCGCTCAGTAATTAATGCATCTAATTGCCTGTAATTTAAGAATTATTATGCAGTATTGTATACTGTATTTATGTGGTTCGCAAGAATCTTACCTGCTGAACTGATTAAATTGCCCCACACTTGTGAAAACTGGTAGAACATAAAAAACACTCCGAAAAATCTGGTCACTACGATGTCCGAAGATATTCCAGTGACTTTAGAGTACGCTTCTGATACAATTGTTAAGAAAGTACATTTTGCACACCATAGTGGGCCTCCTCCGAATCCTACGGCTAGCCCTGCTGGTATCATGGTGTGGAATTTCGGATAGAACTGGGCCATGATAAAGGGCATGTATGCGACGAATGCCAGAGATATTGTCCATTTTGCACCTAGCCATCTAGAATATAAAAAAAATATGATTAGTAGTACTAAATTGGGGTTTCATAAAGTTAGAAAAGTGTTAAAATTATAAATAAAACACTAAGTATAATTGTATATATGTTTAATTTGTATACTTTTCTATTCTCTTTATCGTATTTATGAGAGAAATGTATTTATCTGAATTTTTCAGTTAATGATATAATATTATACAGGGCGGTCCAAACTGTATACCGGAAACTTCGGCAGCATAATATTATGCAGATAAAAATAACCAAAAAAGTTCGTATAAATGTATGCCCTTAAATGCTTAGTTTTTGAGATACAGGGTGTAGAAGTTTCATTTTTATTTCGATTTTTTCAAAATAATTTCTGTAGTAACGTCAATATTTTGATAAAAATTGGTGTCTAGAAGTTGTAGTTGTACTTGTAGAGGGCGCCACCTACATCTTTTTTAACTGATTTGAATAGTAATAACTTTTTGTCCATACCTGTATAAAGCTGCTGATTGGTACCTATATAAAGCTACTTGTCGAAATTATCAACACCTGTCACCATTAACATAAATTTAACATGTTGACTAAATATTTATTAGACTGAAATCATAATTTTGAAATGTTTCTGTGCCAAAAGTTGAACAGAAACTGTTTTATCATAATTTTTTTCGAAAAAAAAATATGATTAATTTAAAAAAAATAAAAAGTTCCCAAATTTATCATTTCAGTCAAATAACTATCTACTCAACATGTTTATTTTTTGTCAATAATGACATGTATTGACTAATTCCATTCTAAATATCTTGAGAACTGTTGCTCGTAGCGATATTTACCAAGAGACATTTTTTACGTAAAAAATCACGAAAATGTATATTTTTTCACTAAGTAGTTTTATACAGGTACGAAGAAAAAAGTTATTACTTTTCAAAACAGTTAAAACACATGTAGGTAGCGCCCTCTACAAATAGGAGTCATATTGACATCAAAATCAAATTTCCCATGTCAAAAAACTCCCAGACACCAATTTTCATCCAAATATTGATGCTACTTCAGAAATTATTTGAAAAAAATCGAAAAGAAAATGAAACTTCTACACCCTGTATCTCAAAAACTAAGCATTTGAGGACATACATTTATACGAACTTTTTTGCTTATTTTTATCTGAATAATATACTGCCGAAGTTTCCGGAATACAGTTCGGACCACTCTGTATATAATTTTATCGATTGACGCCGCTTTTTCTTCGATCACACGGTATATCTGCTACATTACAAACAATTTTATATCTAGTTAAAATATTGAAAAAATAAATGTATAATAAATAATAGCAACATTACCATATATCTGAATAATGATATTACTACGCTTAATGAACACCCAGTTTATGCAAAAACGCATTAATAATGTGTTTCACGCCTTTCCCATTGCTTCATATACACCAAATATATTATTACTTACTTATTACTAACTAATATTCAAGGAAAATGTAAACAATCGTGTCTTTAATATGCCTCATTAGCTAAGTGTATGCCAATATCAACAAGACAGTTAAAGTTTTGTATCATCTATCTGTTTGATTATTGTAGCAATATTTTTTAGGTTATATTTTCATAAGTTATGTAACTATTTATGTAATATTTTCAGAAAACTGTTGGGTATATCATGTTGTATTACCACAGCTGTTATCACGGTTTTTACCATGTGGACTCTGTCAAAGCAATCAAAATTGTAGACTGATACAAATAAGATAGTATCAGTAAAAACAGAGCCATATAAAATTCAATTTATTATTAGTTGAAAATTTTCACTTAATCCTTTGTTGCTTGTTTGTTCCTTTACCTGCATCTGGATAAATCTATTTTTTTTGTAGTTACAATTTCATGTTTTTTTTTTCTGTAAACCTTTTCAAATGAATCCAAAACAAACAAGTAGTTTATTGGACTATGCATAAATGATCCAAAAACAAAACTAATGACCAATCTTGGTATTAGTGAAAATGTCTCGGTGGACAAAGCAAATATAGAATAAGTGTATTCATATAAATCTGGGGAATGAAATAACACAATTAATCTTGACAACCAAACACACGAGATCCAAAGAAGAATAGGACTAAAAGATCGCGCACACTATACCTACACGGACCAGTACGGACCAGCACAGCACAAACCTGCATCCTGCATGACATCGCACACTTTACCGCCACAGACCAGCAACATAAGCGAGAGTTTCGAAAAAAGTACAGTTGTCAAGGCTCAACTACTAGAGCGTGCAACATAAAAGTATTGAAAATGAGTAGTTCAGAGGAAGAAATTATTATTTTAGCCATGTTGTGTGAAGAAGAGGAGGAAGAGAAGGAAGCTAAGAAAAAAAGAAGATTTTGGGTTCACCCTATAAATCAAAAGAGAAAGCAATATGGCGAATATCATCATTTGTTTCCTGAATTAAAAAGATTCGAAGAAAAGTTTTTCCAATATTTTTGAATGTCACAAATCAAATTTGTGTGTAGTATTAGAATTACTTAGATTTCTTCAACCTATGCATACTTATAATTGGGTTTTCTGAATTTCTATTTCATGTTTTTCGTCTCGATTTGTGTCTTTCTCCAGGAAGTTTTTTTTTATGTAGAAATTTATGAAGAAATTCACAACGACCAAACCGGTTAAAGTCATTTGCAGATGTATTTTGTTGTGCTTTAAAAAATTGTACCAAAGTGGTACATTTTTAGTTTATAATGTGGTACGCGCTAAAAGTTGGGTGCGGCAACACTGCTAGAAAACAGTCGCTATAGGCCCGTAGACGAACGAAGTATTTAGCCCGGGCGACTCATTTATGTTTGCCGCAACGGGGCCGGATCGTAGCGGATCCGAGGAAAAATGTACACCGACATTTCTCTGACGGGGCACGGACGCGTTCCGGCGAAGCTCGGCCCGTGCTCGGCTTAGCATGAATACATAAGTATAAGCACAGAATATCTTGCTACGCAACAGAAAAATACTCGAAATGAAAGAGCTAAAATTGCACAAATAGAATAATAGATGGCGCGACAATATCATAATCAGAATATAATTAGAAATTTTGAACTTTCGGTTTTGGATCGACGGCTCGTCGACGGCCTTGTAGCTCGGCTAAATATGCACAGTTGCCAGATTCAAAAAGACTTGAATTGACATCCCATTCTTTTTATTGTGTATAATGCAGTATGTGTTTCTTTCTATTCTTCTTTTCTTATCAGGTACACTTATATTAATTATTCCTTTGGCTATTAAAATAGTTTTAAGTATATTATTACAAAACATATACATTTTTAATATACACTACCTTATAATGTTAACTAAGAAAATACTTTTAATTACCTTTAAAATTAATAATATACAGGCCGATTGATAGTGATATTTATTAATGCTGGAACGTTAGTAATGGTTAATAATTTATTAAAATGCAGTACAAAAAATGTTAACTGACTAAAAAATACTATAATAACAAATTTCTTCCGTTTGCCAGTTATTTATATAGACCTAGGTAGATTTTAAAAAGTGACAGAGGTACAATTAATAATATATTAGTTCGGCATAAAAGTTGCTGTCACGACATGACGACATCGAACAATAAATTAAAATTCGTAAAATAAATTAAAATTATTAATTAAACAAATCTTTATGAAGAAACGCAAGTATATCAAATTTGGGATCGAACCAATCGAACTCCAGGAAATGATATCATAATAGCAGAATAATAGTGTACTAATTATATGAATATTATATGGTACCAGTCGATATGCTTTAAGGTACCATAATATTGCAATGTCACCTAAGATCCATAGTATATCAAATTTAAGAACAATCGAACGCCATGAAATGGTATCGTAATATGGTATAAGGTACCACTTTATATACATCATAGTACAATCATATTACAATGTAACTGAAGATACGTAGTATACCAAGTTTGAGCCCAATCGAAAGCCAGGAAATGGTATCGTAATATGGTACTATATTAAGGTACCACTTTATATGCATCATAGTACCATCATATTACAATGTCACCGAAAATACGTAGTATCCCAAGTTTAAGCCCAATCGAACGTCATGTATCGTAATATGGTACTATATTATGGTATCACTTTATATGCTTCATGGTACCATAATATTGTAATGGCATGAAAAATAGTATATATCAAATACCGTATGATACCGAAAAAAACGGCGTCCAGTTGGATGGAAAAGGGCGATCGATGACATTTCCCATATAAATTTACATATAAAATGACAGCGATATTATTTTCATAGCCATCGCTAACGCTGTTTTTTCCCGATTATACGATATGAACTTGGTATGAACACAATCGAACGTCAGGAAGTGGTATCATAATAGTAGAACAATACTTTATTATATTGTCGCCGAATTACCATGAAAATTCAGGATTTAATTATACAATCAAACGTCAGGAAGTGATTGTAATTTAGCTCATAAGATTTAATTCCAACTAACATGGCAAACTGAAAAAATCAGCTCTGATCTATTTTAATATGTTTAAATGATGTAGCAAATTTGAAGGTAGGCTTTATCAGGAAGTATTACGATATGAATTACACAATGGCAACACTGCACAAAATTATTTTAAATTTTGTTTGTAGAAAACTGTTTTCTTTTAAATTTATTGCCCTCTATTATGTAGTAGCGAAACTACCACATCAAAATATCTGATTTGGAGACAGGCTTTAAAAGCCTGTCTCCTTTTGCTACCTACAATTTTATACATGTAACGAGGCTTCTGTTGCGTAGCTAGATATTCTGTGGTATAAGTAACATTTGACAATGTTTGGCCGTGCCTTCACCGTCGCACGGCCCCGGCCCGTCACGGTGTACCATGAATCAGCCTTAGGTCGGACCAGCACGACCAGGCATAAATATTGCCGGTCATATTTGTCCCTGACCGACACGACCTGTTTTGACGGTCGTGACTTGTGGCGGTACGTGCTGGTACTGGTCTAGTGTGCTCTACTCTATTAAATAACACGGTCAC